ATATTAAGTAGAATTATTTTGGAAAGATTAAAAGATGCTATTGATAAAATGCTAAGAGATGAGCAGGCAGGTTTTCGGTCAAACAGATCCTGTACTGATCAGATAGCCACATTACGTATTATAATAGAGCAAAGCATTGAACTGAACTCACCACTTTACATTGGATTTATAGACTATGAAAAAGCATTTGACAGCATAGATAGGGAATCTCTCTGGAAATTGATGGGGCACTATGGAATCCCACAGAAAATTATCAACTTAGTAAAGGCAACATATAAAGACATGAAATGTCGAGTTCTTCACGAGGAAAAGCTAACAGATGCATTTGAAATAAAAACAGGTGTGTGACAGGGATGTCTTTTGTCGCCTCTCTTATTTTTACTGGCTATAGACTGGACTATGAAAACTAACTGCTAACACCAAGAATGGAATTCAGTGGACCCCTACAAAACAGCTTGATGATCTGGACTTCGCTGATGATATTGCTCTTCTGTCCCATTCACAGAATCAGATGCAAGATAAATTAAATATACTTAATGCGAGATCAAGAATGGAATTCAGTGGACCCCTACAAAACAGCTTGATGATCTGGACTTCGCTGATGATATTGCTCTTCTGTCCCATTCACAGAATCAGATGCAAGATAAATTAAATATACTTAATGCGAGATCACAGCAGCTTGGTCTGAAAATCCATAAAGGAGAGACAAAGATAATGAGAATAAATCAGGCAAATAATAATGTGGTTTCTCTTAATGGCACCCCACTCCAAGACGTGGAGTCGTACACCTATTTAGGCAGTAATGTAGATAAAGATGGAGGTACTGATAGAGATATTAAAATAAGAATACAAAAGGCAAGAGGAGCTTTCATAGCACTAGGGAATTTCTGGAGGTCAAAAGAAATTAAAAGAAATACTAAACTAAAAATTTTTAATTCTAATGTCAAATCAGTACTATTGTATGGGGCGGAAACATGGAGAACAACCAAGGCAATTACTAATAAATTACAGACATTCATTAACTGGTGCCTGCGCAGAATAAAGGGAATAAAATGGTATGATAGAATAACTAATGTAGAACTTTGGGAGAGAACTAAACAGGCTCCAGTGGATCAGGAAGTGAGGAAAAGAGCTGGCGTTGGATAGGGCACACACTGAGAAAAAAGAACAGCATTACTAGAATGTCTTTGCATTGGAACCCACAGGGGCATAGGAATAAAGGAAGGCCAAAAAACACATGGAGAAGAGAGCTGGAGAATGAGGTTAGAAAGATTGGGAGGACATGGGGAGAGCTCCATGCAATGGCGAAGGATAGAACGACTTGGCGTGAGTTGGTTGAGGGCCTATGCTCCATTGGGGGATAGAAAGGCAGAAGAAAACATCAGGGCTATTCCGCTGGCAGCCCATGGGCCAGATTTTAGCAGGTGGCCTGCAGATCATTAACAGTTTCATTGTGTTAATGATCTTTCTGAGCTGGGGCTTGAACCTCTGGCACATGTGGATCCACATTTTCAAATTGTAGCCCCTGAATAAACCTGTTTGAATAGCCCTGGTATACATCGATATGGAACGACTATAGCCAGTGCTACTGGTTGAGCTTTAAGACAGCAGACTGTTCCTCCGGACATTTTTTCAGTTGCCCCATTGTTTTTTATGGTTTATTTATCAACATTTCTGTGGAGTGGGAGTGCTTTAGGTGGTTGAGAATTTCAAATAACTGTTAATGGAAACAGCTTTCTACTGTTGGTGAATACCATGGACAGGTTGATTATGAACATGTTAGAGAATTCATCAATAACAACAAAATGGGTCAGTTATTGAAGTTTAGGGAACTTGCTTAGTGGAATGGAAATACAGTTTGTAATGACACCTTGCTCGTAGAAGGTAAATAAGTTTTTTTTAAATGACTGCATGCTCCTTTAGAAGCCTAGATGGTAATTAGGATAATTCTCTACTGAAATGTTTAAATGATGAATGATGGAGAACTCTAGTGTGCTTGAATCTAAGTATTGGCAAATAAGACAACTAAACAAAAAGTGCTGTCTTTGTTTTAACACATTGTATAGAATGATAACTGAAAGCAAATTAAAACTAGAAAGGAAATAACAACACATGGCTTCTTAGAACCTATTATATTTGAAGTCTGTAACTTAACACTGAAATGTGATTGCTGTGGAGAAATTATGGAGAAAACAATTTACACACCAAAATGGGAGCATGTTATAGTGTCTTCAAGTTTACAGTGAGTCATCGTGTAGTTCAACAAGCCTGAATGAAACACAAACAGAAGCACATTTATCTTGTGTTCACGTCCACCCAACACAGAAGTTCCCCCCACCTGAAAACAGATGTGTAAATAGCTTAACCACGTTCAATAAATGTCGAGTGACTCCATTATACGAACCATGCTTGTGACATTTCCTGTGTCCGATTACCTAGTACTGGGTGAAATGTCTTGCTGACCTGCTAGGCTTGTTTATCTATATACACTGAGATGACAGTGAGGAAGTGGTTTGCTCCTTCAGCCTATAGCAATTTCGGATGCATGCACAGGTGGTGGTTGGCATTCCTGTCAGTCAGAAATTTAAGGATACTTTTAGTGTCAATAGTTTCAAGGGTTCGCTATCTGTGAATGTTTTGTGTGTAAATTGTGAATAATTTGTGCAAGATACAAGACACTTGATTGTTCAGTCTGTCTAGAGTCTGATAGGGTATCTTATTGGGTCCACTGTGTTTTATTACTGGAATGCCAGTTAGTGACACCCCCTCCACCCCTTTTTTTCCCCTTGTCTACATCATAAAATTTATTTGGTAAATGGTAAAAGTTTTTTACCCTTTCCCAACACCTTGAGGCTTATTTGATTATGGTAAAGGGGATGATATCAAGTAGGTCTGCAGTGTTACAGACATCCACCCTGGCAAGGAATGGATACCTGTGCCTTTAGTACTCAATCGTTCCTTCTCCTGTGTCATCACGCTTGATAGAAGTTGTCAGAAGCAAAGCCCTATTGCTGTCAGTGCCAAGGTCCATGTGCTTATCAATGACAGTTCAGGTGAGGCAGATGTGCTAATTTACACAGATGGGTCCATTGTACAAAGATTATTAGAGTGCATGAGCATTCACAGCTCGCTGTGCAGGCAGAACAGTCCAGGAAGCCAGAGGTGCCTTCCGCAGCAGCATGACGATGGAAGTGATGGTGGTGACATAAGCTTTCATGTGGCTGTAACCACAGGAATATTCCCATGTGTGTGATGAGTGATTTAATGAGCGTGATCTGGCGGATCGAAGCAGGCTGCATGTGCAGACAGTGGATTGCGTCATATTGAAACTCTTCTTTACATGAACTTCCCTATGCATGCAGTTACCTTTGTCTTTGTTTCAGGAAATGTATGTGTTATTGCAATGAGAGACTGATAAATTGGCCAATTCTGCCTTATTTGCATATTGCCAGCCTATTGATCTTGCTGACTTTGTTAACACTTGAGAGAGAGAGAGGATGATCTGAAGATTTTGGGAGCAAAGAATACAAGAATTGGGTGTAAAGATCAACACAGCCAAGCATGAGAGGCACACCGGATGTACACAAAGTCTTGTTAACCAGCATAGGTCTGGCACTATTAACCATCGGGCGCTGATGTATATGTCAAAGGGGGAATCTGAGCACATTTGGTTGTGTCTGGAGTGCTATGAAGATAACTCATTAAAAATCACCACATAGCCATGACACTTTCAGAAACTGACTACAAGGTTTTACTGTTGTGGAATCCAGTATGATCTCAGTTCCACATTTATTTGTTAAAACTCCTGAATAGGGTATGGTTAATCTATCTTCAGCTTTGATTTCTAATTTCAGGAACAGATATTCAGGTTTTTTACTTTCATTATATCAAGTGTGAATATTTGACAGTCTAATTTCAAAAGTATCAATATTTTGGCAAGATGTATAGATGCTGGCTACATAAGGAGAAATGTTCAAATATTTTGTAACCCTGCAGGTGATCATCACAAATGAGAAGTAGGATTTTAGTGAAAAGAAATGTAGAGATAAATATTATTGGATTGTTGTCTCATAAAATGTGAATGTTTCTACTCCAAATTCAAGCAATAATTGCTAACATAACAGTATTACAGACACATGCTCTAACTACAGATTATAATGAGGGACAGCTAGAAAGTACTTTGAAAACATACAACAGACACTGAAATAATTTATCTTAAATAGACATAAAAGATAAAAATGCAATAGTGGGAAGAATTAAATACCAGCAGAATGTAAGGTAGCAGGAATAAAACTCAGGAGTGACAGAAGAAACAGGTTGATAAACTTTTTGTGAAAAGAAACCTCTTGTCCTTATTATATTAAATTAGGAGTAGATTTGAAAACAATCTTAAGAATGTCAAAACATTCCGGGTGCAGGCATAAACTAAGAATCAAGATCATATGGTTATGAATGTATAATGACAATTGAACAAAATGCAGGAGTAAAGATATCACAGTTGTTTCAAAAAGGTATGAAAATGAAAGAAAACAAGGGAAAAACACTATAGATGATAGAGGAGCACATAATGGTTAATTATTTATATCTATCCAATGGTAGTCTGGTAGTCTTAGTTTCAGCTTCATAGCAAACGGGTCACCCCATCTTTGCTCCGCTCCTGTGCCAACGAAAAGCACACAGAATGTTTATCACAGTATTAGAATTGCAGTTCATCATTGATGGTAGCAGAAGTCGCCAACAGATCAGCAGTTGCCCACGTGATCAATTTTAATCACATACGGACAACACTGCACGGCAGGCATCGCGCCATTTTCTGAATCTACAATTCACACCAACACGTTGGTCACAGTCGAAAAAACATTCCAAATGTAATCCGCAGCTCACAGGGTCACACCATGCATTCAACTCAGAAGATCCAACAATGGTATTAGTGTATGGGATAATGCAGTTTGGCTGTTGTTTTTCTCACCTCGGTCTTAGATACCATGCCTGAAGAAAAGAAAAAAAGAAGACCAGCCCTGACCGGTCAGCACCTCTTGGAATTGCCAGCACTAATGGAGGCAGCAGGGAGTGGCTAGAGATGAATGCTATGGAGGACAAGGATGGTAGCAAAAAAGGTAACTGCAAGTGACAGCTCCACCCATGATGATTTCTTTATGGTGGCATATGATAATCTACATCATACGTACTTGTTTGGCTAGGCTGTATTCATACACTAAATGCCAGATTGATAAATTATTTTAATTAATACCATGGCATGTTTTTTTGGGGGTAATTATTTTTACAGATCATTTTTATTCGAGGTCATAATTTATAATTTAGCATTCAGATGTCATAGCACAAATATTTCATATAAATGCTGTGGTGTTTCTGTCATCAGGTAAACTGCAGTATTGTTGATGGTGTGTGTGGTTGCATTTCTGAAGTTCCCTTCACCAGTATTCACCAATTAAGATCGATCTTTTGTTTGTGAATATTTGAAGTTTACTTCCCCAGTAGTCACCATTGAACACTAGATTTTTGTCTGTGAATATCTTAAGTTCACTTCCCCAGTAGTCACCATGGAACACTAGATTTTTGTCTGTGAATATCTTAGGTTCACTTCCCCAGTAGTCACCATGGAACACTAGATTTTTGTCTGTGAATATCCAAGGTTCACTCCCACAGTATTCACCAAGGAACACTACTAGATCTTTTGTCTAAATATCTGAGGCTCACTTCCCTAGTATTTACCATATAAGACTAGATATTTTGTCTGTGAATATCTGAGATTCATCCCTTTCCCCTTTTCCTTCCCACAGTATTCACCATACAAGACTAGATATTTTGTCTGTGAATATATGAAGGTCACTTCCTCATTACTCACTGTACAAGACTTCATCTTTTGTCTGTGAATATCTCAGGTTCACTACCCCAGTAAATACCATACAAGTCAGCATAAAGGTGTGTGAATGCTAAATAATTCAAGCCTCAGTCAGCTGGACCTCTCTGCACTGTAAGATCATGAAAGGAGCTACAACATTTCTAAAAGAACATTTGAATGTACACTACTAGCATATAACATTCTTATATCAGTTTTATAAAGAAAGCTACCTTGCCAAAGAAATATACAACTAAAGGATCCTTTTCCAAGCCTGCAGATGTATTGGGCCTATAGGGCTAGACCTATATTCTATGGACCAGTTGGCACTCGGTTCAGCATCCTGCTGGCCACCTTTACTCTCCAGGACTCCTTCTGGTACCCTTTCAAGGTTGGGTCAACCTGGGAGCCAAGGTCATTTTAAAAAAACGTTCATCACCATTCGGATTTGAACCCATGACCTTTAAATCCACAGGCTAGCATCTAGTCACTGCATTTAGGCAGCTCTGTCAAAGAAAGGTAATTAAAATAATTGTTTCAGTTACTTAGAAATCTCATTAGTGCAACTTTTGTAACACATTTACCTTTTAGTTGCCATGTAAGTAGTTCATTTAGTTGATTAAAAAAAAAAGTATGCGCTTTGGGGTAAACTGTTGTACATTATTTGCACTTTATAAAGTGGAAATATGAAAGATAACAGTGAGAGTCAAAACAAAACAACCCAGAGATGTATATCAAAAGTGCAGAGTAAATCTAGAAGTATGAAGGTTAAAGCCATTATGTAAAACTACTGTTCTATAATTATTTCACAACTGAAATGAATTCAGCAAATTTTGTAAAGAATATTTTCAAATTTTGAATTTGTTCTGGTAACTCAATTGTCCTTGCTGTTAAAAAGAAATTTATTATGTCATTTTACAACAAAGTTACAGTATTATTTCAGTATAACATTTCTTTAAAAAATCAGATCAGTCTGTTCCGCAATGACATGAAATTTAGATTACCTCTGCATGATGTGTAACTTCCAGTGGTGCTGATGGAGGTTTAGATCACCATCGGTTGGTGAAAACAGTTAAGCGGATACTCAGGAGAGGCGTATTGCATGTTTGCTTGTCAGTTTGGTGGTCGTAGGTTTACAAGAAAATTGTCTGCAGTCTGAACAGTGAAGCTGGCGGTTATAGTGCTTGCTGTCTATGGGAGGTTGACGGGTGGTCAGCTGCCTACATGACCAACCTATATATATTTAGACCACTGTCTGAATGCTACAAGAATAGTATAAAAACAAACAGCCCGACTGTCTGCCATGGAAATAAATCCTAGTACATCAAAGATCATGAAATTTCTTTACCAACCTCTGAGTCACAGAGCCGCACTTGGTCGTGGATTAGAATTGATATTTGTAAAGATCCACCTAGTATCCCAGGCTGACCCAGCCTAAAATTGATACCAGAAAAGGCAATGACATAATGTTGATGATTCACTCATACACTACTGTTTGTCTTTACAAATATGATATGTCCAGAGTACCTCAGGGCATGAAAAGAGTCTTTTCTTTCACACACAAATTCAACTTCTTATAAACATAGTCATTACACCATGCAGTGTATGATATTTCAACCCTGTCTTGCTGAGAGAATCCTTTCCCCCTACATTTTAGAGTTTTTGATGAAGAAATTCTTTAATATCAGGCCCTGCAACAGCTAAAAGATAAGGTGGTTACAGAAGACTGTTGTACAGAGTTCATGGGAAGAGGTAACAAACATATACAGCGTGGAAAAGATTCAGTACCCTTGTTGGAAAATTGGATCAGAAGAGAGGTAGTGGGAGACCATAAAATAGAAGTTGGGACAGTTTGGCATCATTGCACGGAAGAAATTTGTTTTCTGATATTATTGATAGTACATGATACAGCCATTTCTTGTCTTCCTCTAGCTGTGTAACCAAGTGCAAAATGGCTGATTTGGTTTCATTTTTAAAAGATGTTCGTAACAGTGTATTGTTATGTGGCTACAGTTTCAGTGCAGATAATGGTAAAGCCAGCAGCAATTCCCAAGCATTATTGATTTCTGAAAGGCTGTTTACATAGAAGTTTCAAGTTAACTTATTATTTACTCAAAGCTACATGAAGTGGCTGGATGAATAATTAATATTGTGTTTCCAGTCAATATTTCACAGAGGAGAGGGGATTGTCTGTAGCTCAAATGCTTGCATTCAGCGCAGCTGTTACTTATTTGTTTTTGAGGGTTTTCTCTTATGACTTGACATGGGGGGGAATTATATTTAAAAAAAAAAAAAAAAAAACTGACCAATATTTTAAATTGTTTCTGCTTCTTCTTCTCTTCATCTAGTGTCTTTATTCATTACTGCAAAATGTGGCTGTCAGGTCGAACATTTCACTGTGTGTACTGTGAATTGGGACTGTGTATATTGCTTATTTGTGCACTTGCTTGCCAGTTCACTGGTCTGGGTTCAGTCCCAGTTAGTACCAGGATAGTTAACAACCAGCACAGTTCTCAGCCTCATAAACCAGGATACAAATGTCTAGAGGTTATCTGGGAAATAAGGCTGGCAAGAAAGAGAACTGGTCATCTCAGTTCATAATGCAGTGATTCCCCATGTGATTTCTTGGGCTCAGAATTCTCATTTACAAGGTCTCGTTTGTGTAATTTCACTTATATTGACATCACAGTTAGATTATATATTTTATTTGGAGTATTTTGTTGGCATTGTTCTATAACGTTATCTTATTCTCTTTTCTGTTCAGGAAAAACTAAACACAAACCAGGCAATAGTCCAGAACTGCCATCAATTGTTGACTATCACGTTAACAAGTCCTTTACCATGAACACCAATGATAATACTTATGGCAACGGATATGACAGCTACAGTGGCGGCGACCCTAATTTAAGTCGGGACAGCATGTATGACTATGACATTGATGATTCTGGTCCTCATCGAGAGATGGCTGTCGATGTCCCGGAAAATTTTATTGCCAATGTCAAATCTGCACCACGCTATCCCCCACCTTGGTCAACAGGGAGCTCATCTCATTCTGTGCAGTCACACTCAGAGACAAATAACAAAGACAGGAAAGGACAAAAGGCAGATACTCAGCAAAGTTCCGCGGTGTCCAACAGAGGCCCTAAACAGCAGCAGAGTAATATAGAGCAACAGCCAAGTGCCTACGAGCTGGAAAGATTACATCGCCACCAGGAGGCACTGAAGGTAATACATTTGGTCATGTCTCAGTATATTTATGTCCTAGTCTGTTTTCCAGGACCATATTTTGGGGAAAAAGGATTGACCCACTGCCTCCCAAAAATGCATGCCATATGAGGCGACTAATTAGGGGTTTCCTTCGAAGTCGGAGTGTTTCTGCCTAATAAACGAGGAACCAAAAGTCTGCATACAGTCAGTTAGATCTGTAAAACATATGTGCATGCAAAACTTACAGTTCTGAAATAGGACATAGATGAATAACCAGAACTTTCTGCCAGAGTTTTCAGCTAGTGGATTCTAAATCATGTTACATCCGTCACCACTCTGTGCTTTTAGTTTCTGAGCTTTGTTGGCAGTCAGTGGTCAGTCTTTGTTGTTATATTTATGTCTTAGTTTGTGAGCTTTGTTGGCAGTCAGAGGTCAGTCTTTGTTGTTATATTTATGTCTTAGTTTCTGAGCTTTGTTGGTAGTCAGTGGTCAGTCTTTGTTGTTATATTTATGTCTTAGTTTATGAGCTTTTTTGGTAGTCAGTGGTCAGTCTTTGTTGTTATATTTATGTCTTAGTTTGTGAGCTTTGTTGGCAGTCACTTCTTCTTCTTCTTCTTCACTTCCTCTTTAACCGCTGTGGGTGTCGAGGGAGATATAAGGTTCTGTCTCTAGCTCTTCTGGCCGCCTCGACCATAGGCACATTGTGCTGTTGTAGAGTTTCTCTGATGTTATCCTTCCATATTGTTATTGGTCTACCTCATGCTCTACGTCCTTCTTCTCTTTCCATGTATTTTTTGTATGGTATGGTGTCACAAGGCATTCTCTCTTAGTGGGCAAACCATTTCACTTGCTGTTTTCGTATGTAATTTAGAATTGGTTCTGTGCCGACTTTTTCTCTTATGATCTCATTCCTGATCTTATCTCTTATGGTCATTCCCACAGCCCTTCTCAGACATCTCATTTTCATGGTTTCTAATTTTCTTTTATGGTTTGTTGTGAGTGACCATGTCTGGTACTGGTAGCACAGAGTTGGAATAAATATGCTTTGAATAAGATGTCTCTTTGTGCTGATTGGGATTGTCTTATGCTGTAAGAGGGGGCTAGCTGTCCCAATACTTAGTTTGCTTTACTGCATCTAGTGTTAATTTCTTTATCCAATTTCCCATCTTCGGTAAATGTAGTTCCCAGATATTTAAACTCAGATGCCTGTTTAATGCCTTTGCACTCTATTGCAATGTTTAGATCTGTCTTCTTTTCTCCTATTGACATTACTTCTGTCTTTTCAGTGTTGATTCTTATATTATTTGCTTTACATTCTTCATTCATGGATGTTAGATGTTGTTGCAATTTCATGGCTGTATCTGCTATCAGGGCCTGGTCATCTGCAAAGAGTAATTCGTTGATCTTACTAACATTTTCATTCATGGGCTTGGCATTCTTGCATATACTGTCGATGTAGGTGATAAACAGCAGTGGTGATAAGACACATCCCTGTCTTACTCCAGATCTTACTGTGAATGGATGAGATGTTCCCTGATTTATTCTAACTACACTTCTACAATCCCTGTATAAACTTTTGCACACTTCGATGAGGTGTTCGCTTACTCCATATCTTGCCATTACTTTCCATAATAATTGTCTGTCGATTCTGTCAAATGCTTTCTCCTGGTCTACGAATGCCACAAATAAGTTCTTATTGTATTCAATGTTCTTTTTTATTAACTGTTTAAGTGTGAAGATTGCATCTGTGCAGCTTCTGTTTCTCCTAAATCCCATCTGTTCTTCTGCCAGCTGTGGTTCTATCACTGGTCTCAGTCTTGTTTCTATTATCTTGGAATACATTTTGCCAACATGGCTTAAAAGTGAGATGCCTTGGAATTGACCGCATTCTCGTTTGCTTCCTTCCTTTGTTCTTCCACAATGGTATAACTATTGCATGTTGCCAATCAATAGGAGCAGTTTGTTGTACCCATTCTGCATTAAATATTCTGTGAAGCCATCTGATGCTGCTTTCACCTGCTGTTTGAATTATTTCTGTTGGTAATCTATCAGCTCCTGGTGCTTTATATATGGGAGACTGCTTAATGACTTTTTCTATTTCATCCATTAGTATGTGTGGTTCTAACACTGTTGCTCTGTGCTTTTCAGTTGTTCTTTCCTGATGATCTCCTAGAGGATTAAAGAGCTCATTTAAGTATTCCCTCCATCTTTCTGCTATCTCGGGTGGATCTATCAATGGCCTTCCTGTCTTATCATAATTTATTACAGTGGGGTTGTAGCTCTCATCTCTTTTCCGCATATTTTTAACTACTTTGAAAAATTTTCTGCTGGCTGTTTTCTCATTTTTTGCTAATGACTCACCGAAACGTTCCCAGGATGCTTGTTTTGCTTTCTTGACACTCCTGTTGGTTTCTCTCCTTTGCAGTCTATAGTTTATTAATCTTCTTCTTTCTTTGATTTTATCCACTGTTTATATAAGTCCTTTTTCTTTTTAAATGCGTCTTTTACTTCTTCGCACCACCAAGGTGAATATTTGTTATTTCCCCGTCTGTTTCCACTCTTCCGTTTTCCACATAATTCTTCTGCAATACTAAGCCAAGTGTTTTTATATTTACTCCATTCTTCCTCAATATTGCCAACTACATGTGAAAGTTGTTTGAATGCTGTCTCTACTTTCTGTTGTAACTGTTCTTTTACTCCTTCCTGTTGCAGATTTCCTATCTTGATGAGATCCTTGTTTTTGGTTAATTTCTTTCTGTGTTTCTTTAATGTAAGATGTTTTGCTGTTAACACAACTATTTTATGGTCAGTGTCACATAGACCATTAGGGATTGCTCTTGAATCAAGAATTCTCCTTCTTCCTTGAACTCTGGTAAGTATAAAGTCAATCTGGCTCTTGATGGAGACATTCCATTTGTACCAAGTGTAGTTGTGAATCTCTATGGTCAAAGAATGTGTTCGTAATAAAAAGATTGTGCTGGCTGCATAGATCCAATATTCTTTGACCATTTCCATTTCTATCACTGTTCTTAGCTGCATGTGGACCTAGAAGCTGTTCGTATTCTCTTCTGTTATTTCCTACCCTCCCGTTGAAGTCACCCATTACATATGTTGGCAGTCACTGGTCAGTCTTTGTTGTTATATTTTAGTTTCTTCAGTCTTCTTCTTCTTCTGCCTTTCTATCCCCCAATGGAGCATAGGCCCTCAACCAACTCACGTCAAGTCGTTCTATCCTTCGCCATTGCATGGAGCTCTCCCCATGTCCTCCCAATCTTTCTAACCTCATTCTCCAGCTCTCTTCTCCATGTGTTTTTTTGGCCTTCCTTTATTCCTATGCCCCTGTGGGTTCCAATGCAAAGACATTCAAGTTATGCTGTTCTCCTGTTTTCTCAGTGTGTGCCCTATCCAACGCCAGCATCTTTTCCTCACCTCCTGATCCACTGGAGCCTGTTTAGTTCTCTCCCAAAGTTCTACATTAGTTATTCTATCATACCATTTTATTCCCTTTATTCTGCACAGGCACCAGTTAATGAATGTCTGTAATTTATTAGTAATTGCCTTGGTTGTTCTCCATGTTTCCGCCCCATACAATAGTACTGATTTGACATTAGAATTAAAAATTTTTAGTTTAGTATTTCTTTTAATTTTTTTTTTGACCTCCACAAATTTCCTAGTGCTATGAAAGCCCCTCTTACCTTTTGTATTCTTATTTTAATATCTCTAACAGTTCCTCCATCTTTATCTACATTACTGCCTAAATAGGTGTACGACTCCATGTCTTGAAGTGGGGTGCCATTAAGAGATACCACATTACTATTTGCCTGATTTATTCTCATTATCTTTGTCTTTCCTTTATGGATTTTCAGACCAAGCTGCTGTGATCTCGCATTAAGTATATTTAATTTATCTTGCATCTGGTTCCGTGAATGGGACAGAAGAGCAATATCGTCAGCGAAGTCCAGATCATCAAGCTGTTTTGTAGGGGTCCACTGAATTCCATTCTTGGTGTTAGCAGTTACTGTTTTCATAGTCCAGTCTATAGCCAGTAAAAATAAGAGAGGCGACAAAAGACATCCCTGTCGCACACCTGTTTTTATTTCAAATGCATCTGTTAGCTTTCCCTCATGAAGAACTCGACATTTCATGTTCTTTATATGTTGCCTTTACTAAGTTGATAATTTTCTGTGGGATTCCATAGTGCCCCATCAATTTCCAGAGAGATTCCCTATCTATGCTGTCAAATGCTTTTTCATAGTCTATAAATCCAATGTAAAGTGGTGAGTTCAGTTCAATGCTTTGCTCTATTATAATATGTAATGTGGCTATCTGATCAGTACAGGATCTGTTTGACCGAAAACCTGCCTGCTTATCTCTTAGCATTTTATCAATAGCATCTTTTAATCTTTCCAAAATAATTCTACTTAATATTTTTCCAGGAACTGACAGCAACATAATTCCTCTATAGTTTTCAGTTTCTTCAGTCACTACTGTTTAATCTTTATCAGTCTATCACTTTTCAGTTTGTCTTTGAAGCTATTGGCTGAGTGGGGACATTGATCATGTTTACCATACTGTGAACCTGTTCACTAGTTCTCTCACATACTCCATAGCACCAACACAGCTCATGGCTCCTACTATTTGTCTACCAGAAATCACCTATTGTGATTGTTTGGTTGTGGGTCGCTTTGAAGTTTTGAAATTTTACCAGGGCAGGGGCCATCAAGGATACAGAGTTTGTAATCGTTTATATACGAAAATGAAAATCTTAAATGTATTTTTTTTGAGCGAATATATTTTACAAAAGCAAAGAACAAATGTATATCATTTTCTTATGTAGTCACCACTGTGTTCATCATCATCATCAGTTCTCGTTATGCCTAGTGGCACATGAGGCTTCAGAGAGGACTTTCCATGCTTTCCTGTCCTGTGCAATCTTCAGTGCAGTTTTCCATGTCAAAGATGCCGCACTCAGGTCACTTTCCATCATTCGTCTCCATGTTGTTTTTGGGCGCCCCTGT